TGTGTGTGTGTGTGTGTGTGTGTGTGTGCTGAAGTGAAGTAGAGGACGAAGATCGTATTGAAGCACATGCTCCCTGGAGGGGGAGGAGGGAGGCTCTTGGCTGGACTCCCCTCCTGCCTCCCCCTGTTCTCTCTCTCGTCAGCTGGAGGAAAAGATGTGAGGAGCACAGAGGACGGGAGGACCACCTGACTGTCTGTGTCTCTGTCTGTCTCTGTCCGTCTGTCTGCCGGCATGCTGAGGAAACTGGTCTGCAGGCGGATCTGCTCCTGTAAGCTGCTGCCGCTGCTCGTCCTCTGGACTGAATGAGCTTGTTGAGGAGAGATTTAGTGAAGGTTGTGATGAAGGAGGAGGAGGAGGAGGAGGAGGGTGGTGTGACGATGGCTGTAAATCCAGGGGAAGTGCGTCCTCGTTGTCTGGAACGTAAACACAGCAGGATGATTTCCCGGCTGCAGCTCCTCTTCCTGAACAATGTGTGGACTTCGCAGGTTTTTTAATATTTGCAGCCTCATCGGTGGAAAATGTGTTTTTAAGAAACACTTGAGCACTTTGGAGGAATTCTTCACAATAATTCATGTTTCTGTCGTTAGCCTAGCTCAGCACAAAGACTGGAAACGGAGGGAACAGTTAGCCTGTCTCTGTCTGACGGGAGCAGAATCAGACTCATTGATCCGACAGAGATCCTGTGGCTGCAGATCAGATTCAGTCCATTGATCCACAAACAGGAAGTTGGTCTCGTGAGGTTCAGCAGAATATTTTAGAAGCTTGTTGATCGTGAGTCTTGTTTTGTCGGGTCACGTGTTTCCATGTTGTGTTTGCGTGTTGAACTTCAGCTGACGACGTGTTTTTCTCCTCAGTCTCCTTGTGTTGATATTGAGGTGTTGCACAGCGCTGAGGGAAAACTGCAACCTGACGGCACATGACTGAGTGAGTGAGTGTGTGTGTGTGAGTGTCTGAATAATGAAAGAGGATTGATTACTCGTCGTGCAGGGGGTGGGGCTCACGTGTCTGTCGTTCAGGGCTCGGCCTCTGTCAGTGGGTTTTCACTCTTACTTATTTATTCAGGGAGCGTTTAGAATTCAGTTCATGATCTTCTTGTCCACAGTGTTATTGCAGCCACACGTTATATATATGAGTGGATTCCTGTTCCTGGATTCTAACTTTGAATTACAGCTGGAACGGTGACAAGGATCTGCTGCGTTCCTCCTCCATCAAACTGAACTTCTCTAAGTTTCACAGTTTGTCAGAGGAACCTGAGGATGTGGCTTATGAGGAAGCTCCTCACTTGCTCGTTACATTTTAAAATGAATTCCTCATTCGATTGAATCGTCCATCAACAGTCTCATGTCATTAGTTTAATGTGTCCACAGCGGAGGACGATGAAGAAGCTGAATGTGTCCTTCACTGTGCTGTTGTCCCTCTGGACTCTTGTTGGAAACACAGAACCAATTGTCACGTCTGTTGTCTCTGACCTTCACCCTCCTCGCCATCGTGAGCTCGCTCTGTTGGTGATGTAGGAATGTGAGTTATGTCGTGGACGCAGCTGAGCGTCAGAGTCCGCCCCCCCCGCTCCCCCGCCCGTGCTCAGCGGTGGCATTGTCTTTGTGAAGGCTCCTTGTTGAGCCTTGTGATCCAAACCCTCTTGTCTCTCTTCCTCTAGACAAAAACTTCGAGGACGATGACTCGGTGGACGGCGTCCGCTCCTCGTCCTCGTCCAAAGGAGCCTCTCAGTCTGGGAAGAAGACGGTGAGCATGGGTTCATTCCGACGCCCACCCTCCGCCTCCAGCGCCAAGTCTGCAGGTCAGAACCACACCAGACGTCTGACGTGTCACATTATTCACAAGGAGAAATGTCCCAGTTGAAATCATGGAGCTGTGTTTATTATTACTGTGAATCTCCCTGTTGTCGTCCCTGGAGCACTGATTTGATTTAACGTATAAAAGAAAAGGTAAATCTCTGAAGCCTGTTTGTATATAAACAGATTTCTTTCTGGACCAGTTCCTGACAGAGTTGTGGCTGAGACCTGAGGTCCTTCATTATTGTTGAGTGGCGTCTTTATTAGATTTGTGAAGTTTGATTTCAGCGTCACGTCGTGGATGAAACCCTTTCGAAAGCTTTTGAAGATATAAATCTATTTCACAGAAGGTTTCTGGTTTTAAATTCGTGGTCTGGTCTTTGTTGTCAGGGAGGGACGGCTCTGCAGCCGGAGCCTTGGACGAGGAATACTTCATCCAGGCCTTCGAAGATGTTCCCACGATGCAGGTGTGACGCCGTTTTATCAGATTTATATTTGAGAAGAGGGGCTACAGTGAAAATCTGATCACATGACCTCAGCCTTGTTTACTCTGCCTCTGCACCAGATCTACTCCAACAGAGAGGTGGAAGAGGCCATGACGAAGATTCGAGACGTGCTGTCAGACGACAAGAGGGACTGGGAGCTCAGAGTGGCGGCGGTGAGACGTCCTCGCCTTTTCTCTCGGCGTAGTTTGAAGTGTCAGATAAAACAGCTTCTCCCATTGATGTTGATCTTCTCTGCTCCAGCTGAGGAAGGTGCGTTCGCTGGTCCTGGCCGGCGCTCCAGAGTTTGACGGGTTCCTGCAGCAGCTGCGTCTCATGGAGGCGGCGTTCAAGCTGTCCGCCAAGGACCTCCGCTCTCAGGTGGTGAGAGAGGCCTGCATCACACTGGGGTAAGAGAATACCCTCACGTAATCCTGAACTTCACCATGATGATCAAACAACTGAAACAGAAACTCATTTTAGTTCATATGAATGAGAAATGAAGTTTCAGCCTTTGTTTAGAAAACGAACCAGTTCATGTAAAGTTCTGTCTCCTCTGTCATCAGTCACCTGTCGCTGGTGCTCGGCAGCAGATTCGACCACGCTGCAGAGGCCGTCATGCCCATTCTCCTCAACCTGGTCCCCAACAGTGCCAAAATCATGGCCACCTCCGGCGTGGCCGCCATCCGCCTCATCCTCAGAGTAGGTAGCAGCGTCCTGCAGAGGCTTCCTCGCTCTGTGATGAAGTCACAGTGACGACGACCACATGTCGCAGGAGGTCACCTCTAACTCCTTGAAGCCACGCGACAGCTGCACATGTTGACCAGCAGGATAATGACGTTAGGTCAACGTTATAACAGGATTTCATAGATTGAATCCTGAAAATCACATGTCACCTCAGGAAGAAAAGACTCGGTTGTTGACTGACTGAAAAAAAAAATGTGTTTACACAAAAACAAAACACAGCGTTTGACCTTTTCATTTATTTCTGTGTGAACAAAGATTTAAAATAGACGTTGACACCAGCTTCTTGTTTTTTTGCAGCACACTCATTATCCACGTCTCATCCCCATCATCACCAGCAACTGTGTCTCCAAATCTGTGGCGGTCCGAAGGTGAGACCTTGGTTTACTTCATTTCTACTCTTGATTCGTTTTATTTTACTTTATTCAAATTTCTACTTTTATTTGTATG